GAACTATAAATGCTTGCATGGCTGTAGTTACTGTATATTTCAGTAAAAAATTGTACGATATCTAAAGTTGATGTCTAAATTCTTGTTATATGTGTTGTTAATTATAGTGTTTAAATTTATCAACTTTGCATGTTGTCAATATAATGTCATATAACCTATTTTCAAGGTTTTAGATGTACACTGCAAAATGTAAAGCCATTCATATTTAGTAGTTGGAAAAGATGTGATTTGTCTGTGGTAATAATAATGACAATTTATTCATATAATCCATAATCAGAAAATGGATAATTTTTTGTACCTTTGATTATTGCAGTAATTGCATATGCTTGATGTTAAATTTACGATACATCTGGTGAAGGATTACCTTCTGCATGGCAATCACCAATTAGTGATTAAATCTACAATGCCTTCAGTGATTTATATGATAATGTGATCCTTGATGGTTCAGTGTTTTGATCAGTCATTTTATTGATTTCACAAGTCTGTTAACATGTCACACTGTTATCCATAATGTAGTCTACATGATATAAAATTAGAATTAAACATACTGTAATGGTGCATAGTAATTTTAACTTAAGTTCACTACAGACTCCTGTAGGACAGTTCAGAGTCAATCTTCATTGAAAAAAATGCTTCAATAGACTTAAATTTTTCAGATATTGTTCATTACTTGTAATGATATGAAAACATGCAATATCTAGATATACAATAAGATTTTTCAAGGTTATTCTATTTATTCATTAAAACCCCCTTTAAAATCATTTTATGATATTCAATTTCATTATAGTTTTTTTTTCCTTTTTTGTGTAGTGTATTTGTGATTTGTTTTGCTGTTAAAAAATATCTTGCATGAATTGATTCCTGTAGGAATAGATCCTGTTTTTTTCAATCATTTATAATAGTATATCACAAAGAGAGGCTTATATCTCACACAATAATTTAGGTAACAGTCAGAACATGTATAACATACCCATTTCATTCTAATAAGTGTAAATCTCACTTTATACTGTTTTAATAGCCACTGTTTCTTCTTCTTTTTTCAAATATTCACATAATACATTTTCTGTAGTCTCTAAAGGTAGTAATGGGAAAATATGCCTCATAACTTTTACAGTATTTACACTGTAAATGATTTCTTTTCAGTTATTCTCATTGATTGAGGCCTGTTTCAGAAGCAATAATTTTCTGATGTTCTCTGCAGTGGACAGCACTGATCACAAAAACTTTTGAAAGATTTCTTTCAGATGCATCATTTTTTTCCTGACCACTGGGGACAGGAAATCCTGTAGCCCCCGCCCCCTTCCTACGCCCCTTTAAAAAATGATGTGTCTGAAATGAGTGATGGCATCCTCTGTAGTTTTCATGCTGTAATCAGAGAAAAAATGCCTCATGGTAAAAAGGGTTCCATAGGAAGTATGGCTACCATGAAAAGTGTATTACCATGCTTGATGTGTTATGTGCAGGGCCTATGGTAATTTAGAACTTTTGTGCAGTTAAATATCAATGCTTCTGATATGGGCCTTATTTTTCCTTATCTTCCCATTCCATCTTCATTTATTCTGTGATATATTATTTCCTCTTTTTATCCTCTGCCTTTCAAACAGAAGACAGTTGATTATATGCAGAATTATGTACTCCTTATACTCACCTAAATTCCTTTTCATTTTCTTTAAAAAAAAGTGGTTTACCCATTGTTTCATCTTGTTGCTACTTAAGAAACACATGCTCAACATATTCACTGCAAAGCCATGGTTCTACTAGCCTTATCTAACTTCTTAACCAGTTATCACCCTTTCTGAAATGTCTAGGCATGATAAGCACAACATATCCTAAACAATAATAACTTATGGTCTATACCCTATGATGCCCTTGGAAATTTGATAAAAAATATTATGGATTAGTAACACCAAAACCTTTGAAAAATTAAGCAGTGGAGTGAAATTGAAATGCAACCAGTATATGAGCCTGGGCAGTAGGTAATGGCTCAAGGACTAAGTCTGACTAGTGGAACCCAAGCTTAATATGAAACCACATCCTTGCTGATAATGTTCAAATATACCGGATGTGAAACTTCCTTAACCAGACCAGATGATTACTTCTTGATCAATTCCTTTTGTACATGATGCTTTCTTAGATCTATACATTCTTCATATTCTACTTTAGTCCTTTCAATTAGCTCTTTTTTCATTAATGATGTTACTTATAAAACAACATACTCCTTAATTTCAAAGCTAAATAGTGAAATATGGTAATGAAATGATAACTAAATGGCAGTCATGACCTATATACACACAAATAAGCTTTTTATTTCTGAAAATATCATTAATCTGAAAAAAGAAAAAAAGGTTGATAGAACAACAGCATTCATCTTGCATGTTTCATCAGTTTGATGAACTGGTAAAGTATTACTAGTTGTAATTTTGTGTCATAGTTGTGCCAGTAACATACAGTAAGAAGTGTATCACTGTGTTGGGACATAACTCTATATCTTGCCTTTCAGCTGGTTACACCCCTATACGTGGACAGAAACCATCTGGCTTCCCGCAGTCCAGCTGTAGCCGTAAAGAAAATTGAGGAAAGATGGCCCAGTGGGTGTATGGAGATGAGGGCCTTGGTTGGTGGGGTTGAAAAAGTAATAGGTCTTTCAACCTACAAAGTGAAGGGAGGGTCCAAGGTGGTCTTGGAGATTCATAGAAAAAATAAAAACAGTATCTGGACTTTTTTCTCGCATTTTCTTTTTTCTTTTTTTAGAGGCAACAGAGAAAATAAATTTTCCAGATTATTTTGCTTTTATAAGATATATCTTAGAGAAGTTTGGGGAATGTATGCAAGCACTTTTTATGCACTTTTTTTAAGTTAAGGAAGAGAATTAAATTTTTGTTGGGGGTAAAAGTTATTTTACAAGATCTCATGTTTGTTATGACTTGCATGTACAATATAACCAAGAAACATATACCCAATAAATGATTATGTATTTGGCAGTTAATATAAAAATTTACCTATGAATGGCAATTCATATATATAAAACAACAAAAGCCAGTATAGATTTTTCTTTCTCTGATTTTGAGATGCTGTGTATATATTTTTCACAAAGAGGCTTTATTGAAATTTGAGTCATAAAAATATTACATCCATAAAAGAGCAACAGAAGTAATGCCAGATGTGACACCAGCTCTCAGAACTCATGTGCTTGCATAAATAACAGCTTTTTAACAGCTCCCACACTACAGATGCCATGATAATGCATCATTGCTTATTGCTGAATATAAACACAAAGTGAGATATGAAATAGTTCTGATATATGGTAATTGTGTAGTAATGATTTATACAAATGTTAGGATGGCCATACAAACCATACAGCTACAAGGGCAAGAAATGTGCAAAGATAAATTGCTTTTTTTTTGTCTTTTTTCCAGCAAGAAGATTAACCAGATGGTTGTCACTAATTTCTTTCAGACAAAGTCATCGTAACATAAATATTCTGATATAGATCATCACTCCTCTAAAAAAAAAAAGTCATTTCATTTTATGTATAGTTCATGGAAAGTCCTTAAGTGTTTTGATAGATGTAAATGTAAGGAATGACTTGCAGTAGGTGATTCATTGTCTTAATTGTTGCTGTATTTGCCAAAACAGTCATACAAGACAGACTTTGACTATATCTATGTGTAACTTATTGAATGGTTGTCTTGAGTGTTGCCATCAGGGTGGTAGGTAAAAAGAAGCACTCTTGCTGTTGTTGTGGTCATAGTGTTATTAAAGTTATCTGCACAGTGTTTCTGTGGAAAAGTAGCTCATTTCTGTATATCTGTTAAATGTGAGGCCTCATTGGTTTGCTTTGTGTGTTCAAAATTCCTATCTGATTATGAAGAAAAAATTACAAATTTATATTTCATCTGAATTTTTATTTTTATTTTATTTTTTTATTTTTATTTTTGACTTTACTGAATTATGTGATCATATTGATTCCTATGACCTTGAGAGTATATTTTAAAACATTTTATAATTAGTCTTTGATAACTCCTATACATAGTTAGCTCATTTTTGCTGCCCTATCAGAAATCTAGCATTTTATATGTTAGGTAGATTTATATACTGTCACTCAAAGTATGAAAATACAATGAAAAAAGTATGTGTACCATGACTGTACCATGTTCTCTAAGCAATCGTGGATTTTACAGTATTTTTGAGAAAGATCATAATGGAAGGAATTATATTATTAATATTTTTAGTGTATTAAAATTGTGTTATAATGAGTAGGTAATATGTTTTTGGGTACAAAAATAAATAATTTGAATTCTATTGATATTCTTATGTATTATTGATAATCTGTTTATTTTACAAACATGATTTCATGTTTCTTCGATTTTTACTTCACATTTCAGAGAAAACTCCTGGTATAACAAGATTTTATGGAATACAGTATTTATGGAATATCTGTAGAACAAATATTTGCAAAGACAGTAACTAGACTGGTCTACAGGAGTCTATTAGAAATAATCTTGGATTCGTATGTTTATGTGAATCAGAATATGTGGGAAAACATTCACAGTCTTACAAATATTTATCCTTCAGCAGCATTTATCATGAGTGATATTTAGTTGTTTCATTTTTTTACTACTTTCTATCTATGTAATAAAACACTGAACCAACAAGTATTAATTAACCAGACTTTGATACAGTGCTTATTGGACTGATTATTTCAGAGATTTTTCCATGTTTTCAGCTACCTCTTTGCACAAAAGTGTCACACTTATGTTGATTTCTTTTGTATACTATGAAAAACTTTTCTGTGTTTCTGATGCTGTTTCTGCAAGTTTGTCATTAGCTTTATATGGTACTATAAGATTTTATTATTTTGCAGATTAATTTTCTACTAGATATTAATTTGAATGTGTTTTTGAATAACATGAAGCAGTTTTTCATAGTGGTTCTTTAGCAGAGTATTGTTTACAGTAGAAGTTAACATTTCTAGCCAAACTGTTAAAATATTATCTTTAAGTTAGGAAAGCCACTTTTAAAAGTGTCATTAGATTTATAATCTCATTTTAGCATCAGTGATAGATTTATCAGCCAGTAGTATGCCATTAACCATATATATAAAACTTTAAATGCATATGGTCTAATGTAGATCTGTGTAGTAGTCTTAAGTTTGCAATCTGCTTACCTCAGTATTAGATCTGGCATGCAACAGAAAAAATATGTACTGGAGACAGCAGATTTTTGCAAGCTGAACTCTACTCCCAAATGCAACATAGCACAGATTTTTGGGAGCACAACTATATCATTGTTTCAAGAAGATGCTCGATATGTAACATTGTTAGATACATTATTATTGGTCTCCCAGAGTGTGACAGTATATAGGCACTATTCTGCATAGAAAAGGAGGAATGCCTTCATGAACCCAAGTCTCCTGGCACTTCCGAAGACTTGGTGAAGTTTCATCATGTCTCTGTCTCCTTTCTCCTGCAAATTGGACAAGTCATATAAAGTTTATATTCAGGTATTTGTATTAGTAGATTAAGATAATAAAAATCCCTCAGAGACTCTTTATACACTAAAATTACTTTGCTTTTGTTTTTTTTCTCACACTTGAAGATAGTACTATAATATATTTCATGTTTGAATATTATGAAGCAAGTAGAGCTAGTGTGATGTAGAATTTAATAATCTTAAAGTTTCCTGATATCCTGTATTATAGATATATATATACAGTATATAAGTGTAAGTATACAGAAATGTCACACTATGTTGTAAGAGCCATTATGTTTCCTAGTGGATATCCCTTTTATAAACTCTAACTCCTGAGTGTGTTTGGCCATCATTGGTGTGATCACAATAGTAAATTGATGATCTTTATTGGGAAAGGAATTTGATCTTTAAGAAGGAATTTCAAATTATCTAGAAACATGTTTTCTAGAGATATAATTGTCAATGGCATTAGTGAACTATAAAAAATTTTAGTTATTAGAGGGTACATCTTTGTCTAAACCATCTCACTACCCATAAAAAAGCCTGTCTAGAAAATAGTTTGGTAATCACCAAAAGCATAGAAAGAGTATTTAGTATATGGTATGTAGTAGTACATGTTCAACTTAATATAAAATCTGGTTTATATTAGAATCTACAGTCAAAGTATGCCCTCTGAAGCTATACAAACAAGCAAACAGAAGAGGATTTCAACCAAAAGTAGCCAAAACTACATAAAGGGGACATCTCTTAGGAAACAAGGAGTGTGCTATACTGAGCCCTTTTCAAGGTATCCCCAAAGTGGGAGCTTTATACTTATTCCAAGTGACTGTAAATACATAAAAGTAATAAAGAAAGTATTTATATAAATACATGAAATTTGGAAGTAGGTAATTTATGTAATTATATAACTACAAGAAATGCTATATCAATTATGGGGGAACAATTGTCTATACATATTTTATTATAAATTGTAGTAAATAAATAGGGTTGGTAGCTCATGGATCTCTTTCTGAAATTTTATACACATATGGTAGATGTTAACATACTTATATGGTGATTTTTGAAGCAAATGCTAATCTAAAAGTTGCTTGCAAAATCAAAATATTATGAATATTGTTTGAAAACTTGCATGTCTAATCCCTCACTCTCTCTCTCCTCCTCCCTCCACTCTCTCTCTCTCTCTCTCTCTCTCTCTCTCTCTCTCTTCCTCCCTCCACCCCTCCTCTCTCTCTCTTCTCTCTCTCCTCCCTCTCCTCTCTCTCTCTCTCTCTCTCCTCTCTCTCTCTCTCTCTCTCTCTCTCTCTCTCTCTCTCTCTCTCTCTCTCTCTCTCTCTCTCTCTCTCTCTCTCTCTCTCTCTCTCTCTCTCTCTCTCTCTCTCTCTCTCTCTCTCTCTCTCTCTCTCTCTCTACCATAATTTTTTTTTATTGATCCTCTTATTCATTTTTTCTCCCTCTTTTTGTTTTGATAATTCTCATGCCTTTTTGCATTCATATGTGTATGATCACTGATATTTGTTGCTGCAGTAATAAAATGTTTTGTCTGTGAACTTGCTTCTCTATTCACTAAAATTGTGTTGGCAATACTCTTCACTTCACAGAAGGGAAAATGCATTGTAATGGTCTAAGTACTCTGTCCACTTTCATTATCTGTAAAGGAAATATATGATAAAAGATGTAATGATACATAAGTGAAAAGAGAATAATGAATGTAGTTATATATATGCCTGGTCAGACTCCTTTATTTACATTTAATTCTATAAAAATCCATTTTTTCATGTCGGCAATTTTATGTCAATTATGTGTAATTCTCTTTTCCTAGCATTAAGTAACATCATTCCATAATATAGACTATTTGGGCTATAATGCACTATGTGTGTCACCTGTGTGTGTTTGGCAAAGTAAATGTAGTTGTATCTTGTGATCCAGTTCTGAATGTGACAGCTGTTTAGCTCTACACTTACTGGTACATCATGAATATAGGAATTATTTATCTTTTGATTAGACCTGGTACTTTCTTTGCATTCAATTGCAAATTAAAATAATTACAAAAAATATCAACTGGATAACAAAAACAGTTAGATATATGTTCTATACTGATTCTCTTAATTGCACAACTTAAATCATAATAAGATAAGTGATATACATTAAAAAATAGATTGCATCATTTATAATGATTCTTTAATATATTTCTTGAAGAATAAAGAATTACTCAATATTTTTAAATTTTGTGCAATTTCCTGTAAAACATGACAATTCAGTAACAGTCATGAAAACTTATTTTCATCATTATTAGTCACTGAATGGGCTGATGTTGAGCTAGATTTCTGGTGAAGGAAAGCCTGTGTGTTTATCAGTTTGTCAGGATATTATCTCTGCATATATAACAAAAGGTATAATTTTATATTTTCACATTAACAGTAGAAAACACTGTTTCATATAAAAATATTATTGTAAAACACTCCTCCGTACAGCAAGTAGGACATGTCAGTTACTGTTTGGTAAGTGGACTAGTGCAGTGTTGGGTAGTGAATGCAGGAACTGTACTATTGATGTACCCTTACCATTATAGGATATATTGGTGTCCATAATTGTGACTATTGATACTCTCTCTCTCTCTCTCTCTCTCTCTCTCTCTCTCTCTCTCTCTCTCCTCTCTCTCTCTCTCTCTCTCTCTCTCTCTCTCTCTCTCTCTCTCTCTCTCTCTCTCTCTCTCTCTCTCTCTCTCTCTCTCTCTCTCTCTCTCTCTCTCTCTCTCTCTCTCTCTTCTCTCTCTCTCTCTCTCTCTCTCTCTCTCTCTCTCTCTCTCTCTCTCTCTCTCTCTCTCTCTCTCTTCTCTCTCTCTCTCTCTCTCTATCTGTCTATCTGTCTGTCTCTCTGTATCTCCCTCCATTCCTCACTTTGCCTCTTTATAACACTCTCACTTTGTTTTATCAAATCTCTCTCCCCCTTTTTCCTTTCTCATCTACTTTGCCTTGTCCTTCAGTATACATTTTGAATATGAATTTTAGATATATATTATTATTATTGTTCATTGATATATCAGTGTTTGCAGTTACTTTTTCTCAGAAATAAAACAACGCAGGATTGTTAATGATTACTGAGGAAAAAAATATTGAGATAGATATACCTTGTAGATACATATATACTTATGATAATTTAAGTGGTATGTATGTATATAATAAATTAATAAATGCATATATATATATATATATATATATATATATATATATTATATATATATATATATATATATATATATATGTATGTATATATACATATGTACACATATCTATATATCTATATATCTATATATGTGTATATCTATATATCTATATATATATATGCATATATGTTATATGTATATATGTATATATACATATATACACATACACATATACATATCTATATATCTATATATCTATATCTATATGTATATATCTATATATATACATATATATATATATATATATATATATATATATATATATATATATATATATATATATATATATATTGTCCTCCTTGTGAACAAACAGCCTAAAACATTTCTTTTAGTGATTTTGCAATTTTTCCCCACATCAAATCTTCATCACATGACACACCTACTTGTATAATTGGCTATGCTTTATCTGTCTAAGTCCTCAAAAATTCCTTTTCACTTTTTTGCTTATATCGTGATGTGACATAGGCATTATTGCTGCTATTGCATAAGTCACTTTATTTGGTTTATTTCCTATATACTGCTTCCAAGATGTTATGCAAGGAAGAATACCAGGTAAATATCCCTTTTGATTTGCTATCAGGAGAAAAAAAAATGAATTAAGCAGTGTTACAAGGTTGACAATATTACTGAATGTGTAATAATCATATTTTTGTGTTTTCATGGAATCATCCTATGTCTCATGTTTTCATTAAATGAACAATGGGAAAAATGAAGGAAAATGAATTTGTTGGTTTAAGAAAATGTATACAACTATTTCTCTCTTTTCTCATTACATGTTCATATACTATGAGGATTTTTCACACAACTTCATACATAGGAAGCAGACTGTAGTTTATTCAAGTGAAAATGGAATCTAACCTTTCCTTGTGGTTTTATTAATTATTCCTTTATTAGGAAAAAAGACTATCTATGAATACCTCAATCTAGATATTATGAAAGAAAAATGGATATGGTTTTAGTAATATACTGCATATATCTTAAAACATTTCTCACTAGTTATAAAAATCCTGTTGCTAAAGAAAGAAATAGTATCTAGTATATCTACCTTATGAAATAAAAAGCATATATTACTGAAATACACTGGCTTCACTTTCATGTGTATGTTCTCTGGTGAGAACTTCAGGAAAATTACATCAGAAAAAAAATGATTAAAGTTATACCATAAGTTTCAAAGATAAATGTAGATATGTGTATACCCTAAAAGCACAGATAAAACAAAAAAATAAAAAATAAATAAAAAAAATAAACTGAAATACAGCTACTGGACCAATTTCTTACAATGGTTTTAGTTTTTTTCTTTTTTCC